TGGAATCTCCTTTAGAATTATAACATCTTGTGCAGCAATCTGAAACCTCTTATTGTAAAAAACTTGTATAATTTCATTACGCAGAGATCTTTTCCCAAAATAAATTACCACATCTCTTGGCAAATTTCTTTGCTTTGCAACCCAGGAGTTAACTCTAAACATTTTTTCAATTTCCCTGGATATTGCCTCTTTTTCTCTATTCAAAACCACAGCAAAATCATTTGCTACAATCTCTCTCAGGTCTTGTTGCATGTCTTCTCTCAGCCCCCTGATTCTTAAAGCAAATTCCATTTCTCTATATTGAGACATAACAATATCATCTTGTGAAATTTCCATCTTTTTTTCCATGCCTTCAAATTTATCCTCCAAAACCTCCACCTTATCTGTCACTTCTTCCACTCGAGAATCCAGCTTCTCAACCACAGAAGCAAGTCCTTTTAGAGCAGTGGTTCTCAACCTGTGGGTCGGGACCCCATTTGGGGTCAAACGACCATTTCATGGGGGTCGCCAAACAACGCAGTCCGCCATTTTTTCCCCCTTTTCCTTAGCTGTGCTACTCCCTTTTATTCTATTGGCTTTTGAAAACCAATAGAATAGACTCTCTTGAACAGAGTCTAATTCTATTGACTTTCCAAAGCCAATTGGAATTGTCCAGGCTGTCTCTGCCCTGCTGAGCCCACCAAAAGTCCCATTCTGCAAACGGTGCTGCACCAGTTGAGTAGTCCTCAACTTACGACCGGTTGAGTAGTCCTCGACTTACAACCGGTTGGGGGGTCGCGGCATTAAAAAGGTTGAGAACCACTGTTTTAGAGCCACAACTATGTCTTGCCTCAAAATAATATTATTCTCCACTAAAAGCTCTTTCACTTCCCCTCTAATTTGAGATATAGCATTTCCCATTATATCTTGCATGTCTTTTACCGTTACTGATGGCAGAGGAGGGGAAGGAGGTGGTGTAGCTTTTGGTTGTTGTGCTGGTAGAATCGCAGGAGAAGAAGCCACCTTAGGTACTGTAGATGTTGCTTGCCGCCTTGAAGCCATTTTCAAAAAGAAAAGTTTTGTTTCTTCTTTCCTCCTTCTTAAAAAAAAAATAGAAAAAATACAAAAAAAAACCCCTTGAAAAAATAACAAAAAAGAATTTAGCAAAGAGGGAAAGTAATCTTCCTGAAACACAAATCCAACTCAAAAAAACCTTTAAAAACAATCTATTCCGTTCCGTTCCGCTCCCTTCAAAAAAAAAAAAAACTTTCCAATCGCCATTTTACTTTCCCTCTTGATAAAAGAAAAAAGGGAAATAAAAATCAATCTTTAAACTTAAAGTCCAAATAAGATCAAAAATAAAATCCTTTATCCAGCTCTGTCCGCTTTTAAAATAACTCACCAGGTTTCTTTAAGCGCGGAGGTGGGAGCGGCATCTTGCTTTGTCCCCCATATCCTAGTTATTTTAACATTCAGTCTTTATAGGCAATCAATGACCTAATTAGTTTTTCCCACTAATTAGGTCATTGATTGCCTATAAAGACTGAATGTTAAAATAACATGTATTGATTGACCTTTGACTCTTTCCAAAACAACCTAAGATACCTAATTTGATTAGAGACCAGAGATACAATATGAAGATTTATTTTGAAAATGAGATTCCAGGGGTAATGTGATCAAAGGAAAGTAGTGATAACTCTTTTTTTCTACATTGCACCTTATAAAAGTATCCCTGTTTCCATCCATTGCACCCTTGCAGAAAATTAATGGGCTTTTGTTGTTGTTATTCAAGAGGCCTGGTGAGGAAATATCTTTTTTTTAATTGATTTTCTAGTTTTACATTTAAATATTTGAAAAGCAACGTGGCAGCTGAGTTAATCGATAATTCAATAACATACAAGTATCTTTAATACAGATCTAAAACTATTATATTAAATATTTAAACTAATACAATTCTTATTATATCCATTAAATTAAAAAATAACTTTCTTACATTTATCAATAATTTTTAGTTTACACATATCCTAGTTATTTTAACATTCAGTCTTTATAGGCAATCAATGACCTAATTAGTTTTTCCCAATTTTTAGTTTCCCATTAATATTTAAATTTAACATTTAATAATTATAATTTCCAAGTTTTAAATAACCCCAGTCCCTTTATCACAATTCATCACAAGATCTAATGTTCAGGATACACGTCTTATCTATTTGAATATATTCTATTTCTGGTTAGGAAATATCTACTGGTGAGGAAAACTGTTTTCTCACTGTTACATACATAACAAAAGTCCCAAATTGACAAGGTCCTCCCTGTGTTGGATTCCCAATCTCTACTCTTTAAAAATTTGATGTGTAAAATACATTCATATGCTTCATGTATTATCTAGATTGGTTCTGTGTTGTTTTATTTAATGTTTGATCAGATCTGTACATCAACATACATATGTACAAAATTCCAACTTAATAAAATACATAAATATTGTTTAACAGAAAAAAATGTTGAGAATCTTGGACCAAGAGAGTCAAATTCTTTGAAAAATCTTGAAAATAGCATGTTTATTTCTCACAGGCATTCTCTCTCTCTCTCTCTCTCTCTCTCTCTCTCTCTCTCTCTCTCTCTGTGTGTGTGTGTGTGTGTGTGTGTGTGGTGTGTGTGTAATAATAAAAAACCTTGATTTAAATGCCTTTCAACTATTTATTTATTCAATTTATATAGCCATCAATCTCATGCTTATAACTATGGATGTTGTGCACAATTAATACAAAAAAGAAATTAAACATCCAAAATAAATTTAAAAATAGTTAAAATATTAAAAAAGGGAGAGTGAAATCTGAACCTACATACAGTATCATTTAATGGGCTCTACAGCTCCATGAGATCTTCAGGCCTGATGGCAGAACCAAGTTTTTAAGGACATTCCAGAAACTCAACAAGTGCCAATTTCACATGGGAATGATGTTTCAAAGGCAAGTGCAGCAGTAGAAATTAGAAAGAGAGAATGCTGTTTATACAACCTTTATACAAGGTGGGACACAAATGTCACAAATAAGTAAAATGCATATATTTGTTTCTTTCATATAAATATAATCTGTTCAGGACACATATAAATTAATATATTCACATTAAACATGTAGGAAATGACCAGATGTTGCCCAAGGGACAGGTCATTCTCAAGTCCCCTCATGTCCACAAGAGATCTATGTGCAGCCCACCTTGAATTCCATTGACTCTTATCTGCTGCCTATTTGCTTTGACTGTTAGTAGTCTAGATTCTTGAAAGTGAAGAGGAACTAAAAAGCCTCTTGATGCGGGTGAAGAAGGAGAGTGCAAAATTTGGCTTGAAACTCAACGTTAAGAAAACCAAAATCATGGCATCCGGCCCTCTCAATTCCTGGCAAATAGATAGGGAAGAAATGGAGGTAGTGACAGATTTTATTTTTCTGGGCTCCAAGATCACCTCAGGTGGGGACTGCAGCCAAAAAATTAAAAGACGCTTGCTCCTGGGGAGGAAAGCTATGGCAAATCTAGACAGCATACTAAAAAGCAGAGACATCACCCTGCCAACAAAAGTGCGTATAGTCCAGGCCATGGTTTTCCCAGTTGCAATGTATGGCTGTGAAAGTTGGACCATAAGAAAGGCTGAGCGCCAAAAAATTGAGGCCTTTGAACTATGGTGCTGGAGAAGACTCCTGCGAGTCCCTTGGACTGCAAGGCGTTCAAACCGGTCAGTCCTAGAAGAGATCAACCCCGACTGCTCTTTAGAAGGCCAGATCCTGAAGTTGAAACTCAAATACTTTGGCCACCTAATGAGAAGGAAGGACTCACTGGAGAAGGGCCTAATGCTGGGAAAGATTGAAGGCAATAGAAGAAGGGGACGACAGAGAATGAGATGGCTGGATGGAGTCACTGAAGCAGTAGGTGTGAACTTAAATGGACTCCAGAAAATGGTAGAGGACAGAAAGACCTGGAGGAACGTTGTCCATGGGGTCGCGATGGGTCCGACACGACTTCGCAATTAACAACAACAAGAAGTCCAGATTTTTATAGAGAACATTAGCATACAATAAGCTATATTCTTTTGAATTGCCTGGATTCCTGATTAGAACTAATTTCAGGAGTAACAGTTTATATGAATATTTTTAAGGAAATTCATGATGGGATATTGAACAATTGATTCCCAGCTTTGCACTACAATTTTGAATACATTTATTTTGGAATACTCCTATAAAGAGGCTGAGTTTGTCAGCTTTCCAGCTGACAACCCAGGTTTGAGACCTGAGTGTCATGAAATCAGGTGGGTTCCTGTTACCTGCCCCAGCTCTTGCCCACCTAGCAGTTTGAAAGCATGCAATTGTGAGTAGATAAGTAGATACTACTTCAGTAGGAAGGTAACAGATTTCTGTGTGCCTCAGCATATAGTCATGCTCCTAGCCACATGACCATGAAAATATCTTTGGACAATGCCTCAGATAAGAAACGGAGATGAGCACCACTCCCTAGAGTCACACAACTAGACAGGGCAAAATTTTACCTTTATTTTATTCCCATGTATATTTGTGGTTTATTATTCCCCCCCCACACACACATATACTATTGTTAGAAAGTCTGTATATAGCCCTACAGAATAGACAATTACAGTCCACATGTGCTTTTCTACTTAACTGTGACAAGGAAGCAGGAAACTTCATTCAGAGAGAAGACATAGTGTACACCATAGATCTATCGATCGATCGATCTGTCTGTCTGTCTGTCTGTCTGTCTGTCTATCATCTACTAAATACTGCTGTAGTTGTACAAAATACATGAACACTGTATTAAGATATTTCCAACAACTCTTTTGAGAGAATTCCTTTTGAGAAAGTTTGTGGTATGGCATGGCAAGTTACCATTAAAAGAAATAAACTATAATACTAGATTAGAAGATATCAAAGTTCTTTAGAATTGAATTATATTGTTCAGTATAAGTTTATTGTGCAATTGGTTGATTATTCTTGTGTGTGTGTGTATGTCCTTTACAGGAGTACAAGAGCCACATCATGAGAAGATTATTACTGTGTCTGCTAATGGAAGTATTCACAGCCCTAAGTTTCCTTACACTTATCCCCGCAACACAGTACTTGTGTGGCGATTAGTTGCAGCTGAAGAGAATATGTTGATACAACTTACTTTTGATGAAAGGTTTGGGCTTGAGGACCCAGAAGATGATATGTGCAAGTAAGTATCAATTTCTGAATGTGTGTAAATTTAATAAAAAAGACAATATGTCATATACAATGAGGCTTGCATTAACTTTTAACAACTTAAGACTAGATGTTCTTTGGGTTCAAATGCTGTTGTGCAGTTCATCTGTGGACCTGAAGGTGGCTGTGCAGTCTCAGTCTGGAAGTGTATTGCCTAGCACTATGGGGACGCTATTATTATGTGATGCTGCTCAGTTTTTCTATCACTTTTTGGTGCTGCCTATCTTGAAAGCCAATCAACTTTTTATAGCACAGCGCTCAACAGCAGGTTCCTTCAGCAGTTGCAGCTTTTAGTTCCTTTGATTGAATGTCACAGTGGTATAGAGTTTCCTTCACAGTGTCTTTGTAGGGCTTGCATGGAATACCTTGAGGTCTCTGCCCAGTCTCCAGCATACCACAGAGCAAACGGCGTAGCATACAGTCATCCATTTTGATCATATATCACTTCACCACATCTAGGCTCTAATAATCAGGGACTCAGTGCTGATGTATTTTGCATGATTCAGGACCTCCAGGTGTTTCTTTCAAAAAAACTGAAAACTTCTGTATTACAAGGATATGTATTCACTAAGTTGATATAAAGCAAGGCCTAGTATCATGCTAAAAGCAAATAATAGAAAAATGTATTTTTAATGTAGTGTAAAAATATACTATATTTTAGATAGGTTATCAAATATTACGTATATTTCTATTTTCAAGTTAATTTAACATGGTTATTATTTTGTTTTATGAAGTCTCATTTACATGTTGCTGTTTCAATATAGCACTGTGCATTACATTGAACCAAATTACCATTGCAATCATATTACTGAAATGCTATACCTGTTGTCCTCCTACAACTATTTGTTTCGCAACTGTCAAAAGTTGCAGCAGAATTGCTAAATGTAACTTAGGTTTAAGCTGAGGTTTTAATATATAAAACAACTCCATTGTTCTTTTTTAAACCAGCGGATGTAAATTCCTCCCCTAATCGTTTATTTGTTAGGTATTTCTTAGCTTGTATTGTAATATGTGTTTCTTGAAGGCAGATTATGTCAACATTCAGTTTTCTCAGGTAATGAAATAGTTTTTTAAGCTTAGATGGGGCATTTCCCCCATTAATATTCCATGTAATAAACTTAATATATCTTTAGACAAAGTAGTAGGTTCCTGTGCAGATATCTTAGCTGGGTTTTCTTCTTCAATGCCATGAATATGGCATTGAATGAATATGGTAGATTCGTAATAGTGGAATGCCAATGAATGAATATGGTAGATTCGTAATAGTGGAAATTGAACTCAATGGTGTGTACAGGCCAAATGATGATAAAATTAAATTCTTTGAATATCTTATGGATCAATTACTACCTTTTTTGTATGCAAATTGACATGTTGGAGATTAGAATGGAGTGACTATACCAGCTCTGGACAGAACATCTAATAAGGGGATTAAACCCTCCCAGGATAAATTACCAAAGACCTTTTCCAAAATGATGCACAATTTAGTACTAATAGACTTATGGAGACATAAAAATGGCTCCGCTAGAGAGTATACATTTTTCTCAGAAAGACATAAATCTTTTTCAAGGATTGATATGATATGGATTTCTAAAAATCTTGCAAATATAATTTTAAAAGTTGATACTCTACCTAAATTTTTCTCTGCTTTTGATACTTAGAGGAAGGAATTTGAGCTTTCGATGGAGAGTAAATGTAAGGACCCACCCCACTTTGCATCTTAAGAAGACAGAAGTCTTGGAATAATTCTTCCAGCAGGCATCCTTTATTAAGAGAAAATGGTTGCAGGCGTTCTAGACAGGACTTGGGGTACAAACTTTCCCATTCAAGGTTTTAAGGGGTTTCCCAGTAGCCCCACCCAATCACCCCCTACTTCCAGCGACAGTCTCAGGCATTACATTCCCACCCCCCTTTTCTTACTGCCGGCTGGATGGAGACTTCAGAGAAAACTACATGAAAGGTAATACCCCCCTTTGTTATGATTAGGCCTTTTTGGTGCTATCCAAATTCAGTCTCTTTGAAGTATACTGAAGGAAGTGAGAGCCATAAAGCCCCTTTGTTCACCGCCTTCCCTTCATTGTATGACAGAGTCCAGGGAAGGCAGAAGTGGGGTTTTCTTTAGTTGATAACTAGAGATGAAATATAATTGGATTCTGACAGTAAATAAATCTATCCTGCAAAAGGAAATGATCATAAAAGATTGTAAAAAGAAATTGAGTACTTTGATAATAATTTAGGTAACGAGACAAGTTTAACAACTGTGTGGGATGCTAGTAAAGCTGTTATAAGGGGTTGCGATTCGCTACGTGTTGAATAGCCCCATAGGCATTGAAACACTTTTTACCCTAATGGAGACCTGACAGATATTGGAAGCTCCATGCGACTGCCAAAGGGGTGCTTCTGAAATGAAACATTCCTCTCTGTTTCTGAAGTGTCCCTTTGGCAGTCATGCAGAGCTTCCAATCTCTGTCAGGTCTCCGTTTGGATAAAAAATGTTTCAGCAGCAGCGGCTTGAGTTTCTCTGTTCCATCCAAATGGAAGAAACCAGAGGCACAGAGCAGGATTGCTCTCAATAAGGCCGGTGCACATGAGCGAGCACCACACCCGTGTCTTCTTGAGAGCAATCCTGCTCTGCACCTCCAGTTTCTTCCTTTCAGACAGAGCAGAGAAATTCAAGCCGCTGCTTGAGTTGGGAGGACAACAAGGAGAAGAGCAGTCAGGATTTGTGCTACCGGCTGGTTAGGACAAGGAGTAGGTCGGGTGGCTGGGTGGCTGGGTGGCTGGCTGGGGAGGGAAGACTGTGGCTGCTCAGGTGGCTGCTGCCACCATCAGCAGCCTGGATGCAGGTGCAAGGGGACTCACCCCACAATGCCTCCCCACTCAGTTGAAGGCTTCATTCCTGCCCTCCAACTCAGGCTGGCACACATGAGCAAGCAGCACACCCGTGCCATGGAAAGCATTGGTTCCTACGCCCAGCCAACTCTGATTCCACCCTTTCCCTCATAGGCAAGCAAACAAAACAAGCACTCCCCCCCCCCGAATGGAAGCTTCTGGGGGTCATGATCTCTGAATAGAGATATTAGGCAAGATGAGAAAATAATGGGTTTAAACATCAAGAAAGAAGCTTATAAACTGAGTGCATTTGCTGATGATCTGGTTACATTGCTGAAAGATCCAAAAATAATATAAAATATTTGATGAGGAAGTTAAATGAGTTTGGGGCTTTAGCAAGTTTTATAATAAATAAACAGAAAACAACAATGCTGACTAAGAATATGTCATCTCAGAATAATAATATATTGATTAAAAAGCCGGGTTTTAAGTTAGAGAAAAAACTGAAATATTTGGGGGTTATGTTGACAAATACAAATATAAAATTATTTCAAAATAACTATGTGCCTCTTTGGAATGAATTTGGAAAGTGAACATGTAAAAACATTGTATGATTTAGTGGGCAAGGAACTTTGGATATAATGTGATACTGGAACAATAGGAGAATATGTGGATGAAATCTTAAAATTCACATTAAATTATAATTTAAAAGAAAATTTTTATAAGATGATATACCCCTGCTATTTAACACCAGATAAGGTATCTAGAATGTATAAATGTATTTCAAATGAATGTTGGAAATGTAAGTGTGAAGAAGGGACCTTCAATTATGGAGAACATGTGGTAAAGCAAAAAAATATTCGAGTAGGATTCATATTCTAATACAGAAAATACTTAAAGTAAAGATAAATATGAAACCAGAAACTTTTCTTCTGGGCTTAATGGAAAAAGACTTGGAAAAAAATGGAACTTTGATCTTAAATATGTTGACGGTAGCAGGACTATTGTATACACAAAAATGGAAAGATATTTCGATTCCCACTATGGATGAATGAAGTTGATGGAGTTGGCAGAGATGGCTAAATTGACTGTTTCTCCAGACTGAAGAATCCGCCAATGGGTTATTTCAGTCCTCCTGCCCAATCAGACTAAGTTGTCAAGTTGTTCCACCCCTCCTTGTCTGGGACCTCCCAGTTTCATCTTAGTCTTTTGCCCATGAGAACGTGATAACCTGACTCTCAGTTCATTTGGATAGCAGGTCAGACTAGATATTGGCAAACCATTGGTGGATTTTTTTTGAGATTGGGAGCATTAGTTGTGATTAATCCCTTCTCTGGGAGATCTGAACCCTTTTTTCCCTTTCCATTAGGGACTAGAGTAACATTTCTCTCCAAGATAGGGGGGGTGGTTGCTTTTCCCTGATTCAGCAGTCTGCTGAGTTGTTTTCCAAATCCTTGCTAGATAGGAGTTGTGGGGGGTGTTCCCTTCGTTAAAGCTAAAAGGGGATTGAGTATTTTCCACTCCCCTGGCGGGGCTGCACCTTTCTGGCTAGCGGACGCAATTTTGAGGCCACATGGCATCTTCTCTGACCGGGCCCAGTTAGTGATTCCCCATACGGGCATCATTTTGACTCCACGGAGCTCAGTTTTTCGTTGAAGTTTCTCCGGCCAAAGAACAACTGACTTTAATCGTTTGGAGTGTGCGACGGGGGAATATTGCTTAGGCTTTATTCGCTTTCTCTCTGGCTGCCGCTGAAGAGAAGGAGGCTTCGTTTTACAGCAGTGAGCCGATCGCACCTAACAGCTATTAGGCGCGATTTGCTAAACCAAATTTGCGCACTCCGGCAAAACCTTGAATATTGCCTTCTGAGTTTAGTTTACCTTTTGCCTGTTGTAAGAATCCATTTATTCTCCCTCCCCCCCCTTCTCCATCTGATCTCAGGGCATCTGCCATTTTGTCAGGCACATTTCCACAGGGAAACACCCAGTTAACACCCAGGCTAGGATGCTATTTTGTGAGCTTGCTCAAATTGCTTTCTGCAGGTAGATTTTATTCTACATAGTTATAGCTGGTATATTTACATATACGTACATACATACATACATACATACGTGTGTGTGTGTGTGTGTGTGTGTGTGTGTGCGT